CGCGCGCAGCAGAGCCTCACTTTTGGGCGCCTCATCCCTCCCGTGTGTGGCACCCGTCAACGGTCACTCTGTCATAACCTCAAAACTTCCACCCTAACTTGTAAACAAACCGGTAGAGGGGGTGGCAATGCATACCCTAACAGGTGATTTTCAAAACACATGTATAACCTCAAAGTATTTGAAGAATTGACGTGTCCCTTCGAAGAGAAAAATTCACGCAACTCGTACGTTCAAATCAATGCCGAAAGGTGTGTAGATTACTATGTATGCGAGGGTTAATAGTGTCAAGATAACTACGAAAAAAGCGGCAATTCGTACAAAGTAAATAGATTTGATTTCCTAATAGGAGATATACGAAGAGAATGCAAAATTTGTTCTTACTGAGAGTACTCTAAGAATTTATTATTAATGCACAGCCATTGTATAAGCCATTGTAAAAAAATAAATCAACTGAAAGACATGGGTCTGTACAATACAGAAAATTTAAACAATAAACAAAAGAAGAGAGACTCAGAATCGTGAATCAACATCCTGGATGACCATTTTTCTTCAGGAGTTTTTTGTAGAGAGCTCTAACTTTTTCATCGTCGTTAGTTTCCCACTTATGAAAACGACCAGCTAGTAACCTCCTTACTTCTACGAGCCGTGGTGCCGGAAGATAGTTCAGGAGGTCAAAGAAACATCTATCAATCGCTTCTTCAGGAGACTCAAGCCTCATTTGCTCCTCTTTCTTAAGAAGCTTTGTTTTACCGGAGTCTTGAGAGCTGGAGCACTCTTTGGCGTCAAGCTCCTCCCGTCTCATATCTCGTTTTATGCATGCACAAATTTTGAATCCCCATGTTCGTCTTCCATACACATCTCCTTGTCCATTTTCTAAGGTAAAAATCACGTGAATGGCTCTCCTCTCCATACCCTTTGCGCAACTGGTTTGACAGACAAATTTGTAGTCAATCTGAGTTTCCCCTTGCCCTGCGACCATATTATAAAAGTCAGGATCGTTGACTTGAATCGGTATTTTCACGCTACATCGGCCACTGACAGGATCTTTTTCATAAATGGCATCATCTCGTGGGCATCGCAGAACATGCTCAATCATTTCTTCATCTAGACCTGAATTGAGAGGATGATTTGGTACACTGTGAGTTGGACATCTTTTCACAGGTACTTTTGTGAAGTCCGGGGAGGTGTAAATAGGTGTGGCACGGATAAATAACATACACGGCATATTTGTAGCTGATGTTGGCTGCCATGAAAATTGTGGAGACACTGTGTGATTTATCTCAACAAAAATTTTGGACAGTGAAATTGAGCAAACCCACTTCTGCCCATTTTGTTCTTGGGCTTTGGTGCCTGCTAGCATTTCAAACTTCAAGGAACTATTATACTCGGATACTGCAGGCTCCACCGATGTAGGCCGGGGTCCACTATCCTTCGCTGCATGAAGAAGCAAGTTTTTCGTTTCATGAAGACGGCCGTTCCGTTCCAAACTTCTAATTGAAACAGAGTGATCATCTGCGACATCAGAATCGCTCATCAACCTTTGACTTCCTTCGTTAGGGAAAAGTTGGGAGAATGATAATCCCCCTGTGCCAAAGGCAGACAACACATCTTGGGACAACGGGTCTAGCGAATCCATGACACGTAAATAAAACTCAATACTTTTGTGTAGTTAATGAAAATAAATATAATATTGATATTTCAGTTCACAAATTGTACTAACGTTCTAATTCGTAACACGGACGTAAAATGACTGATTCATGACACGGACGGTTTCAATGTAAATGATCTCGACTCTATAAGATAGGTAATCACTGAACGATGTGGACGCCACAAGTGGACTGCATTTTGCAATTTGGAACTATAAAGTCTGGCCCGGTTTAAAAAGAACGTACGTCCCATTAGTTTCCCTAAGCACATAAGTGTTTTTTCTGATAAGCCAGAATTTATAGTTCCAAATTGCAAAATGCAGTCCAAGTCATCCCAGTCATTAACGCAATCAAATGATGAAAGAGAATGATCAGGAATTTCAATCGCAGTTGAGGCGGAAGGAGACTTGCACAGTTTAGGAGAAGGAAGAATAGATCGATCGAAAACCTCCTCTGCTGAATGAACTCAATCCGAAAATCGATCCTCTGGTCCTCTGGAGATTTAAAATTAATCGAGACGTAGTTTTGAGAAAAAGTTCGGGGGCATTAGAAGACATTGGAGTGGTCAAGAATTAGAGAGATTTCATGAAATAAATTCGGGAAAATTGACGAATTTTTCAAGTCCTATGACGTTCAACGAATGGACTTCTTGTTGCGATGAGAAACCACTATTTTAGAGTCATCCATAAAAGCAATTATCTAAATATCTAAAGAAACCTATGTCACGGATGAAGGGCACCTGAGAATGAGGCTCTCAATAGGATCAAACCTTCGAGATGAAAATAACTTCACACGGACTATTACCGTTTTACATGGATATCATTTGCACCAATTTCCATTCGGAATCGCTCATTTTTAAGTCCACTTGGTAACAATGAGCGTTAGTGAAACGATTTCAAGCTGGCGTACGAAGAAACATGTATCGAATGGAAGTATGATGAATTAAAAACAGAGGGATTGTTCTGTCGTTAATTCGCATGCAAATAAGAGGCGATAAATAAGAGAGGGCACGAAGTTAGCGTAATTAAAACAAATTCAGCGTCGAAGAGTCGCCGGTAGCCAGTCCCGTAGAACGGGTTCCACCGGGAGCGTGCAGAAAACAAGAACGCACCTCGCAAAAAAATCCCGGGCTTTCGTCTGAAATTCTAATGAGAGACGCACACGTTTTGTTATTTTCTCGTGGAAAAAAAAAATTAGATTATGACAGGTGAGGCTTGAACTGTTGAGTCCTTCACAAACAGACGGAAATATATTCTCTGCACGCAGAATGAAGAAGTAGTAGGTATAGCCCAGTTTTGTGGCGCTTGTTATCACACCTCTGATCTGGTGGTCCATTACGGTATTGAAGAACTTCGGTTTACCATTATCTGGGGAATAATGGGCCTGTCTAGAACTTTAGGTATAGAGCCAATTGAAGAGTTGCTTCTTAATGAAAATGGCTCAAAAATCACCCAAGCAAGCGCGTCGGAAAAGACTGTAACACACCCCTGACTTCACAATCTGTATACGAAATATGCATTTTTTAAAGCTTTCCGCTTCAAAAAAGATAATACGGCACAGGTGAATATTTCGGAAGAGTCCTCCATCCGGCCCTTGAAGCACTAGGATAACTACATCCGTGCAGTATCATAAAATCTTGAATTATTTGAGTTATCTTTTCAACCTTTCAACATAGTTTCGAGGAACCACGCCTAAAACCGCTTCAAAAATTGAAAAAAGTTTATGCAAGTGATTTAAAAGTTTGTTTTAAAAGTTTTTAAATTTTCAAAATGTTTTAAAATGTTTAAATTTTATATACATACAGGTGGTGGGGGAAGGCGGCATTGTATACAATTAACGATCCACTGACTGTTGCGTTGAAGTCACCTTAAAATACCATCCAGTGGAAAACAACGCATCAATTAGATTATAGTCCAAGCAATATGGTATGAAATTGGACCTTCGGTGGAAAAAAATCGGAAGCAAGATGAGAAGAAGGTATTCGGTTCTCAAGGAGATTTCTTGTCTAACCGTCATAATAAAGTTTTATTCATTAAGAGATTGTCATCGTACCTAATAAAACTTGGAATTCAAACTGAAACGGCGGAAGATGATGCTGATGCCGTGATCGTCAATTGGGCTCCAGTATAGCGATGCTAACGATGTCGTCATCGTTGGAGAAGACACCGATCTGATCATGCTATTCATCGTTCTTGGCGACCAGTGTGCAAAAAAAAACCTATATTTTTACATTCCCGATAGTTGTAAAAAATCAAGGAAACTTTACCTCCGTTCTAAGGATCTAGATGAGATCGGTAGCGTAAGAGATATTCTGATGCCTTCCCACGCCCTCACTTGCTGTAATATGCTAGTTCTGTTTTATTTAAACGAGGTAAAAAGGAGCCATATTCTGTACTAAGTATAAAAACCAGAGGTGAAGAAATTCATTCATATTTAAAACCACGTTTAGATTAGATCAGCAGCCATGAAATGATAGGAGCAGCGGGTGAAAAGTTCCTCAAATTATGATACTCTTGACGAGCTTCAATTCTTCCTATTTCATCAAGCAACTGCTTGCTGTCCTCTTTTGACCTAGGTCTCCGCCCCAATCTCAAATGCATCGCAGTATCACTCTTACCGCGCTTTTCTTCAGGTTTGCCAATGGTGAGATGTGAATTTGCCCCAGGAAGAGTGGGGTGTTGGGAGAGGACAGGTAAT